AAAGGGAGGAGCAGGGTTCTGGCAAAAGAGGCATTCTTTTTCCTTGGGAACTGCTAGACCATGAAGATAGGAGGGTTTGCTTATCTACAAGAGTCCCAACTACACCAGCAGTTTCTCAGCCTAGTGAAGACTGATGCCTGTCTTGACTCCCAAGGACACACAGGGAGTCCAGCTTAGGGTGCAAACAACAAATTATGTCATCCTTGACACATTCAAGGCCCCATGTGTAGTCTGGGTCCGGTGTTTCTGGAAAATATGGCAACTCAAAAAGACAAGTTCAGGAGACCTCTTAACATTACTTAACATAACCCAAGTCCTCTTATTGCAAAGCTAGAACTCTGTACTACTGCACCTACAGTCAATTCTAGGTCAAGTTATCAAGCATTTATTAAATATTTACTACTTGCAGGCACTGAATTAAGCATTCACCCACAATTATTTAAGTGCCCAATTAATACATTGGCTCTCTAGCGTAGTAGAGCCAATCTGGCTTCATGTCTGGCCTCTGATATAGATGGTTGTGTGACCCCGGGCAAGTCACTTAAGCTATTAGTGCTCTAGACCAGAGTTGTCAAATAATGTGGCCTGAATCATGTGTGGTTTTATATAACCCTATAAACATGTGGTTTTTTTAAGTCAATACCTGACCTACAGGAAACCTTATGTATTGTTTAGTGGCCTCTGTTTCTATTTGACTTTGACACCACCAAACTAGATCAGCTCTCTAAGACTATACAAGCTGCAGATTAGTAGAGGGAATTTCCTCATTTTAAAGCAAAGACCATCAGGTATAATGTGGAGGGAAATACTTGTTCATTTATTGGTTGGATTACATGACCTTTGTGGTCCTTTCTAAGTTTGAGAATTTGTGATCCAGTCGGTCAGCAATATTTATTAAACACTCACTGTATGTACCAGAATTTAGGAGAATGTAAAAGAAGCTGATGGTTATGTGGGTGTTTTCTACTAGCTTTAACCTGATAAGACAGATATTACAAAAATATGTGAGAAAAAAAAATGAGGATTAGCAATTAAATTTTCTGTTTTTTAAAGCCAGATAATATTTAGAGCCGGAAGGAATTTAGAGTTAATTTAATTCACAGTATATGGGGAACTAGGTGGCTCAGTGGATAGAGCGACAAGCCTAGAGTCAAGAAGACCTAAGTTCAACTCTGAACTTACTAGGCAAGTCACTTAACCCTGTTTGCCTCCGTTTCCTCATCTGTAAAATGAGATGGAGAAGGAAATGGCAAACCACTTGGAGAGTTGGACATGACTGAAACGACAACTACAATTATAATCCATAATATAAAAAAGTCTAAAAACAAGTATGTGATGAGAGGAAGCTGGCCTAGGAAAACTGCATGAATCCAAGGGTATTTTAAAAAATGTTGCTAGGCAGGACATGTTTCATGAATTCATTCAAATTCTCAGCGCTATTCATTTGTGTTCATTATCACATGCCTAAACTATTAAACTTCTAGTTTTCTTAGGAATATCAGTTTGTACTTACTAGTTTGAGTTGATATTTTAAAATTTTTCTTTATTATGAATGTAACAAATCAGCAAAAATGAAAATTTTAATACACAAAGAACAGAAGAGCATTGTATATGAAACTAAACTTCTGTTCAGTGCCATTTTAAAGTCTATATTAAATTTAATACAGGAGTAGCAAAACTACCCTGATTCTGTGATCCCTCTGAAATTCCTTCTCCTATCTTCTATGTATTTTTAAAATGTTTTCTTGACACTTTTTCTTTTGTAATGTTTTTGCATCATCACAATCTTCAGTCTTTTCCCCTTCATTAATTATCAACCCCCAAGCCCTTCCTTGTAGCAAATAACTTACCAAGCAAAACAAACCAGTACGTTGAACTTGTTTGAAAATGTGTATCATTCTGTTTTCTAGTCCATCAACAATCAGCCAAGAGTAATTTCTTTTCAAGTCATGATTTTCTGTTTCCTTGGTTAGAGTTCTTAAGTCTTTCAAAGGAACTTTACATTAGGGCAGTCCTTGTGTAAATTGTTCTCCTGGTTTTGCTTACTTTTTTCTGCATGAATTTACACACATCTTTCTAGGTTTCTCTTAAGTTTTTCCCTTTGTCATTTTTGTGGCATGATATTCATTATGTTTACATACTGTTTTTTCTTAGGCAATTTATTAATTGATGGGCCCCCACAGTATTTCCGGTTCTTTGATATCAGTTGATCATTTAATTGAAAAGCTTTTATTAAGTATTAACTATCTACCAGTGTACTAGATACTAGAGACTCAAACTAAATGAATAAAATAATCTTTACTCAAAAAGAGCTTATGTTCTAACTTTTTATTACTTTAAGTACTAAAGTATTCATTTAAATATCTTTGTCTCTTTCACAGTTTTTTCTTATTTAGCTCAGTTTTTTCTCACTTCTCCCACAGAAGTTGTAATTTGATAGGATTAGTTTTCTCAATTTTTGTAAACAATTTAATACTGAAGTTAATTTGTTTCAGATTAATAAAATTCACTCATAAACCCGTTTTCCTTAAAGTTTTTTACTTTGTGAGTTTTCATGACTTATTTAATTTCTTTTTTCTCAAATTTGGTTATAAATTATTTTTCTTCTATTAATCTTCGTGTTTTACATATTTGTAAATACTCATCTCTTTCATTTAAGTTTTAAGTTTTGGTGGCATATAATTGGGCAAAACAGTTCCTGAAATTTACTTCACTTCATTTCCTTTTTATTTGTTATGAGCTCTTTCCATTTTTTGTTTTGTCAATTTGGTTTTCCTTTTTGTTTTTTTTAAGTTTGTCTATTTCTATGTTTTTGTGCTTGAATTTTTTTGCCCCCCCCAAAAAAACACAGCTCCTATAATTTACCTATCAAGTCATAGTGAGGTTTTTTTAATTTCCGTTTTTGTGACTAGTTTGGGTTTTTTTATTTGTTGTTTTTCTGTTACGTTATTGCATGCCCAATTCATTGACTTATTTCTTTCTTTTGTTGATTAAAGTATTTAGAACTATGAATTTTCCCTGTGAGATAGCATTGGTTGCACATACAAAGTTTTGGTATGTTATCTTGTTGTTTTCTTTGAAATTATCTGTTGTTTCTTTGATTTTGTGTTTGACACATTCATCCTTTGTGTTTATATTATTTAGTATCCATTTAAGTTTGACTCTTTTCTTCAAATACTCTATCTTGATTACGATTTTCATCTGGTTGTGACTTATAAAGGATGAGTTTAACATTTATGCTCATTATGCTTGTTTATGTCCAAGCGCGTAGCCAGTTTTTTGTAAAGGTGCCATGTGCAGCTGAGAAAGACACACCCTTGCGTGCAGTTTCTCTCTCATTCCCATTAGTAAGCATCAAAGATCTAACATATGTAACTTTTTGCAAATGTCATTCAAGTACTTCTTTTTATTAGATTTGTTTACATGTGGCATCTTGAGGCCTCCATCTATTACTGTTTTGCATTCTGTTTCTCCCTGTAAATAATTCAGTTAATTTTTCCTTTAAGTACTTAGATCAAGGCTTCTTAACCAACTTTCCTCCCTGTGTTTTTTCTTTCTTCTCTCTTTGCTTCTTTCCTTCCTGAGCACATTCAACACTTATATAGATTCAATTGCAAAATGCTCCTTAAAGAAATAAAGTAGAACTTAATAGCCAGAAGACTATTCAGGACTCATGAGTAGATCATGACAATTTAATAAAAATGACCATGCTACCAAAGCTAATTTGCAGATGTGTTGCTATATCAAACAGATTACCAAAACTCTATTTTATATAGCTAGACAAAATGGTAACATAATTAATTTGAAGGACCAAAGGTTTTAGAATAAGAAAGGAAATAATGAAAAAATTCTAGACCTCAAACCATTTTTAAAGCAGAATCCTTAAAACTATTTGGTACTGGTTAAAAAATAGAAAAGTAGTTCAATTGAATGTACTCATAAGGAAGAATCAGAAATAACTGAACCCAATAACTTAGTGTTTGACAAACCCTCAAACATAAATTATCTAGGAAAGAGATTCCTATTTAATAAGAATTGCTAGGGGCAGCTAGGTGGCACAGTGGATTGAGCACTGGCCCTGAAGTCAGGAGGACCTGAGTTCAAATCCGGCCTCAGAGCAAACACTTGACACTTACTAGCTGTGTGACCCTGGGCAAGTCACTTAACCCCAATTGCCCAAAAAAAAAAAAAAAAAAAAAAATTGCTGGGAAAACTGTAAAGCAGTCTGGCAGAAACTAAGTTTAGATCACTAACTTAAACTGTATTCTAGAATAAATTTTAAATGTATCCATGACATGAATATTAAAGATCATGTCATTAAAAAATGAGAAGAGAAGCAGATCATATACTTTTCACATCCATAGGTAGGAAATAAATTCTTAACCAATCAAGGAATAGATATAATTACAAAAGATAAAAGACTTTTGATTAAATGAATTTGAAGATCAGCTTAGCAAAAATGACAAAACACGGGAACAATCAGTGTTGTAGGGCTCATGGAAAGACTGCATGCTAATGTATTGCTGACAGAGCTGTGGATTTGTTCAGTAATTCAGTAGTGGAGTTTGGAATCATGTAAATAAAATGACTAAAGTATCGATGTAAGGTATATGCTGTAAGGAGGTCACTGACAAAAAGAAAGGTATAAACCAGAATATTTAGTATAGCACTTTTTGTGGTAGCAGAACTAGAAACAATAGATTCTCAACAGTTGGGGAATGATCAAACAAATTGTGGTACATAAATATAATGGAATATTCCCATGCTGTAAGAAACAGTGATTATGTTTAACATAGAGAAACATAGAAAGACATATACAAACTGATTCAAAATGAAGTATAATTAAATAATGACTACAAAACTGTCGATGTAGCTACTTTAATATATTTTTTAAGCTGGTACCAAATTTTTTACTATTTTATTAAGAATTTATTACCTTAAAGTAAGGTGAGTTGTTCGTACATTAAGTGTATACAATTTATTTTCTTCTGTCTTTACAGAAATGTGGATTTTCAGAACTTTATTCATGGCAAAGAAAAAGAGATATAAAGGAAGAATTTTGTCTTCATGATGGACCACCATATGCTAATGGCGAAGCTCATGTTGGTCATGCTTTAAATAAGGTATTTATAATTTTTGATCTACTTATTGATCTTGTGTCCTTCAAAGATTTTCATGGTTTTTCCTCTGAAAAATATATTTTCAACTCATCAAAGATGTGTTATAGTTATGTACCCTAAAATTGTAGTTTGATGCCTCATTATGTTGTGGGGATATTCTAGAGCTCTCAGAAGCTGTTGCAGGAAAGCACAGTCTTAGGCAGGTTGTACCAATTTGGAAAAACTTTGAATATAGGCTCTTTATAAACAAAGAAACTTAGTGGAATTTTTTTTTTTTTTGACAAGGCAATTGGGGTTAGTGACTTGACCAGAGTAATACAGCTAGTAAGTGTCAAGGTCTGGCGTCTGGTCTGAGACCGGATTTGAACTCAAGTCCTCCTCATTCCAAGCCCGAACCTCTATCCACTGCACCATCCAGCCGCCCAATTTAGTAGAAATTTTAAAGCAAAAGTAAAGCTAAATTTTAGAATACCAGAATTGAAAGGACCCTCCTTTTACAGATAAAGAAACAGACTTTAAGACATGAGATGTCGTCTCTGTTGTCAAATAGCTAGTTACAGAAAAATCCATGACTCGAATCCAAGTCCTTTAGTTTCAGACCCGATGTTGTCTTCCATTACACTGGACTAGTATAGTTCCCTTACCACTCAGTTCCTCCTCTTCTTCTCGTGTTGCTTGTAATGTCTTTTGTATAGGTACTTTTCCGCCTGTACAAGAGGTAACAGTACTTATTTCGCAATTGCTGGTAATACCAAAATTAATTGTCTGAAATAAAAAGGAACTGAGGACTGAGCATTTCATGATTTAATTTGTAAAACTAACATTTGCGTATTTTACCAGGTCATCTGACTCCTCAGATGTTAGAGACAAGGAGTGATTTATGGAGCTGATTTTTATAACAGAAAAGAGGAATAAAATAAAAATTACAGAAACTTGTTTTGAATGTAATTCAGTTGGACGGGGCAGGTCATCCGACTAGTTATCTCCTCCCAGCCTTTCTTAATCCTACACCAGAAGTCCTTGCCTTAGAGGTGGTACCTTTTGTAACCAGAAATGCTACTTTAAGGGGCCCCGTAGATCTTCTAGAAGTGGAAACTTGCTTCAGAGAGTCCAGGAGAAGAAGGTATTGTGACTGGGAAAGAAGAACTTGTGGTTGGTGGTTGATAAGCTAGCAGTCAACCCCCATCCTCCCAGCTGCCAGAAGGGGAAACTTAACTTTAACTTAACCTTTGGTCAACCCCTCCCCCCATCCCCCCCTTTCTCTGGCTACTAGAAAGGGGAATTTAGCCTTTAAAAAAGCCTTAAAATCCTATGATTATTTTATTCTCTAAATTATATGCTACTAAATGGTAAAGTCTTATCAGTCTCATATTCACTGAATCTATAGGTAACCTAGACCTAAGAGACTATCTGTGTTAGTCTGGCTTAGTTTAGGACTAGCTTTTCCTAGAGAAGGGAGTAATCCTATAATCAAACTAAAAATAAATCAAAATAACCAATACTAACTGATTTCCTTTTCAGCAACAATCACAAAGGGATGCTGCACTTGCTTGTGCCAGGGGCTCATGGCACTATGGCTCTCTGTGTTTCACTTCTAAGAATATAAGGTGAGCTGTGTTTTTAAAAGACACAACTGTTAAAAATTTCACCTTATATTCAGGTCATTGTGGTCAGTGTCCTACATTACTATATTCTCACTATAATTTTTTGTTAAAATTACATAATGAGGATAATAGGGGATAGATGTAGGGACTGGACCTGTGCTCCATTTTGAGGTTTCTGAAAGGCAGCTGGAGATTCGAGGACCACAAGTCAGCAGAGAAGTTGGGGAAAAATAGGTGGAGTTGAAATCAGCATCGAGATGCTAATTAAATCTGGGGAAACTGATGAGTTCACGTAGTGACTTGAATCAAGGGAGAAGAGAAGGTGGCTCAGGAAAGAACCATGGAGGACACCTAAGGTTAGAGGGAATGATCTGGATGAGTATCCAGCAAGAAAAAGAAACGAGAAAGCGTGGTCAGATAGGTAGGAGGAAAACCAGGAAAGAAAGTGTCCTGAAAACCTAGAGAGAAAAGAATATCAAGGAGGAGAGAGTGATCAACAGTGGCTGCAAAGAGGTCAAAAAGAATGAGTGTTGAGAAAAAGCCTTTGGATTTAGCAGTGAAGAAATCATTGGTAACTTTGGAGAGAGCAGTTTAGGTGGAATGATAATGTCTGAAGCCAGATCTAAGAAGAGAAGAAGTAGAAGGAACCAGTTATAGATGACTTCCTCAAGGAGTTGAGCCATGAAAAGTAACAAGAATGAATGGATCAAATAAGAATTTTGGGGGGGAGGGGCTTTTTTGTGAGGCAATTGTAGTTAAGTGACTTGCCCAGGGTCACATATCTAATAAGTGTCGGGTGTCTGAGTCTGGATTTGAACTCAGGTCCTCCTGACTGCAAGGCCAGAGCTCTATCTACTTCGCCACCTAGCTGCCTTCTGAGAATTTTTTTGTATGAGGGAGGAAAGCAGCCAGTGGACAGGAAGAGATTAAAGGTTAATGAAAACGTGGAAATAAGATGAGTGAATACCTGACTCTTAGCTTATTTTGGGGGGGGGAGCCCTAGGCAATGGGTTAAGTGACTTATCCAGGGTCACACAGCTAGTAAGTGTCAAGTGTCTGAAACCGGATTTGAATGCAGGTCCTCCTGACTCTAGGGCTGGTGCTCTATCCACTGCGCCACCTAGCTGCCGTAATACCTGACTCTTAGGACTTTTATACCTTTACTCCAGTTACATCCCTACACTGGAGACACCTCCATCCCTGTTGTCTCCTCTTCCGCTTAGTGAATTCTTCCCTGAATCCTCCATTTGAGGAAGTACCCCTGATAACTGTACTCACTTCTGCTTTTTGGTGAGGCAAAGTTCATTTTGTTGTTGTTGTTGTTTGTTTGTTGCTAGGCAGTGGGGTTAGGTTACTTGCCCAGGGTCACACAGCTAGTAAGTGTCAAGTGTCTGATTTTTACTCAGGTCCTCCTGACTCCAAAGCCAGAGCTCTATCCACTGTGCCACCTACCTGCCCCAACTGTACTCACTTCTAACCAGGCACATTTCCTAACCCTTCAGCCTTTCCCATGGTACCTTTCTCCATTTCTCTTCACCCTGCCTTCAGCTCCTTTGTTAAGGATTATCATTCCCTTCCCCACTTACCTCCTTTTCACCCCCCTTCCCCATTAGAATGTAGACCTCTTGAGGGCTAGGGCTAGCTTTCCTTTTGCTTGTGTTTGTATTCCCAGCACTTATCATAATGCCTGGCACATAGTACACATTTAATAATAAATGTTTTAACTAAAAATCCCTCTTATTGTAACAATAGAGGGGGCAGGTCTGCTTAAGAGGATGGGATGGAATGGGATCACTTGTGCATATCATCTCTATGGGTGAGACTGGGAAGGAATTGATAGTGGGGAAAGGTATCTAAGCGAGAGGAGATGTTAATTTATACTTTTAACGTTATACCAACCAAACTATCAAAGGAATACTTTACAGAACTTGATAAAATAATAATAAAATTTATTTGGAGAAACACAACAATGTAGACTATGAAGAGGAAGTCAAAGAGCAATAGAACTTCCATACCTCAAACTATTCTATAAAGCAGCAGTCATCAAAACCATTTAATATTGGTTAAAAAATAGAGAAGTAGATCAATGAAACAGTATAGATATGGGTAAATCAGAAACAGTGGAACTCACCCCAGTGTTTAATAAACCAGAAAGCATAAATTACATAAGAAAGAAGTCTCCATTTGATAAAAACTTGTGGGAAAACTGGATAACAGTCTGACAGAAATTTGGCTTAGACTAATCTTTATACCGTATTCTGGGTGGTACGGGGTGTTCAGAGAAGACTAGTACTTAGGCTGCCAAGCCTAGGGCTGCTTTACAGCTTTGGTGTCCAACTGCCACCCAACCCATCTTTGGCTCCAAGAAGCTATAGCATGCTCAGCGGCCACACCCCAGTAAAACCATCTCAGCAGATGGGCTAAACCAGGTTGAAGTTAACCAACAGACCTCAAACCCATCACTGATTAGGGGGGTGTCTACCCCAAGTATGTGAAGACTTCCCTGGCAGAATAGGTAGATGTGAACAACTTGTTCCAATGAGCCATGAAAGCGGCGGACGCAATCACCATGGAGCACTTAGAGCTTGGTTAGACACTGAAGACACCAAGGTCATCCACTGCATTCCAGGTCATTGCCAGTTGCCTTGACATTTGTCTTGCCACTGGACTTCAATGACTCTGGAAGAGAGAGTGAGGCTGATGACTTTGTGCAGTCTGCCCCACTTAAATACAGTTTATGCTTGAGTCAAAAGACATCACTCATACCCTTTTACCATTTACTATTTCATTATTTTACTCCTACTCAAAGTCCTGTGGTGATAGACAAATGACAACATAGCAGGTGTGGATACACTGTGTAGTCACAACCCTGCATATAGGTGGCCCAGGCCATAGGGATTGTCTTCTCACTGGACCGAGGCAGCAATAATAAAGCAGGGAATTGGCAGGACATCTGAGTAGCCTTTTTTAAGGATTGTACTGCTTACCTCCTGGCATAAGGAAGGACCTAGAAAAGGTGCCCTAAGAATTGCCTGCTTCACGTAACCCACCCTGGCCTGTTTACTGAGGAAGGCAGAAATCCTACCCTATGGTCAAAACACACAAAAATTGTACAAAAACTTTTGTGAAGATGATTTCACTCACCATTGGTACATAGAATGTGTGCATACTTATGGATAACAAGAAATCCAGTAGACCTGAAAGAGGAACAACTCTTCTTTCCAGAGAACTCAGCAGATATTGCATCCTGATAGCACCCCTGAGTGAAAAAAGGCCAGCTTGCCAAAGTCAGAGCTGGGTATTTTTCATAAGCTGTGGGTAAGACATTTGGGGTTTTTTTATTTTTTAATTTAGTTTTTTTTTTTTTAAGTTTTATTGATATGTTTAGTTTTTACACTACAGATTTCTTCCACTTCATGAATGATCTCTTATAACAAAGCAAAACAATTAAGTAAAACTAATAAAACAGTGACCTTATCTGAGAGCTCATACATTTCATGTATGTGGGCTTCCCTCATTTCTGTATTTTGAAAAAATTAACAGAAATCCATTTTTTCTCCTAAGCCCTACCCCACTGAGAAAAAATCCAAATTTAAAAAATATAAATGGGGGCAGCTAACTGGTACAGTGGATAGAGCACTGGCCCTGGAGTCAGGAGGACCTGAGTTCAAATGTGGCCTCATAAACTTACTAACCGTGTGATCCAGAACAAGTTACTTAACCATGATTGTTCTCCCCCCCCCAATAAATAAATATGCATAGCTAAAGAAAAAATTCCGTAAATGAACGTGTACAAAAATATATATGTATCATTCTGCATCCTGTATCTGTCACTTTGTTTCATCTTTGGTCCTTTAGAATCATGATGTCAAATTCATATAGAAAGAGGGGGTCATCAAACCACATACAGTATAAGGATCCCTGTGGACTGCCATAATGACTTAGACAAAGACATATTTATATATTTCTTTTCTTATTAGTATATCAACACATTAAAATCATATAGAAATTACATTTTAATCTGGTTCTGGCCTCACTGGGGGTTGTAGTAGGCAGCATAATGCCAGCCAGTGGAATGTTTGACATCTCTGCTCCTGATTCATGAGTGGTTATTGCATCAGTCATAGTTTTTAGAGCTTTCAGAGTTGTTTGTTTTTACAAGGTTGTTAGAGTATAAATTATTCTCCTGATCTAGTCATTTCATTTTTCATCAGTTTACACAAGTCCTGGAAAGTGTTCATTTTTACAATATCGATGTTACAGTATAAATTTTTTTGATTCTTCTTAACTTCACTCTGTGTCATTTCATTTGTCTTTCCATTTCTTTTTTGAAATCATCTATTTCCTCATTTTTTCTTTTTTTTCTTTTCTTTCTTTTTTTTTTTTTTTTTTAGGTGAGGCAATCAGGGTTAAATGACTTGCCCAAGGTCACACAGCTAGTACGTGTCAAGTGTTTGGTCTGAGGCTGGATTTGAACTCAGGTCCTCCTGACTTCAGAGCTGGTGCTCTCTCCACTGCACCACCTAGCTGCCCCTTATTTCCTCATTTCTTACACACAATAATACTTTATCACATTCATATACCATAACTTATTTGACTGTTGCAAATTGATGGACATTCCCTTGGGTTCCACTTTTTCACTACCGTCAGAAGAAGTGCTATAATTACTTTTGTGTATAAAGGACTTTTTCCATTTTCTTTGGTATCTTTTGGGTGTCGGCCTAGCAGTGGTAATGCTGGATCAAAAGGCACACGCACACGGGCTGATAGGCATTGGTAGATAGAATTTCTTCATTTCTTGTTACTAATAAAATCACATTTTCTCACTGTCTGCCTATATTAAATAAACATTTCTTTATTACATTATGCAATGAAGCTGGTCTTGAAGTCTGGACAAGCTGTGGTGTAGACCAGCAAATTTTTTTGTGTTTTTTGTCTGTTATTACTCTTTAAACCATCTCTTAGAGGGAGTTGGGGAAGAGAATAAGTATTTATAGAATGTCTACTGTGTGCCAGGCACTATGCTAAGCACTGTACAGACATGCTGATTTGCTCCTCACAGCAACCCTACAAGGTGGGTGCTGTAACTATCCCCATTTTTACAGTTAAGGAAACTGAGGCAAACAGGTAAAGTTACTTGTCTAGGGTCACACAGCTCATAATGTGTCTAAAGCTGGATTTGAACTCAGGTCTTCCTGATTTTAGCCCAGCACTCTATCCACTGAGCTACCTAATTGATCTGTATATTCCCCTAACTATGTGAGCTACAACATTCAGTAGGTTTACATCTGCGTTGTAGAAGGAATTCCCATGTGGATAAAATCATAGATATTTGAAGTATTGATGTACAAATTTATTTTCACATTTATATGATAACATTGTATCCATAGATTTAAAGATTTAAGCATTAGTTACAATTACATTTAAGTGGAGCTCGTAATTTTTTGGTTTTTTATAGATCTTGAAAGATATAACCAATCGATTCCAAATGATGAGAGGTTCAAAGGTGCATTTTGTGCCAGGTTGGGATTGTCACGGATTGCCCATTGAATTAAAAGCACTTTCAAAACTTGGAGAAAAAGCTCAGAATCTTTCACCAATGGAAATTAGAAAGACAGGTAAATTTTCTGTGTTTTATGAGTTTAAATAATGGCAAAGATACTTGATCGAATACACTGCTTTCTAGTTTTTTTTTTTAAATTACCCTCTTTTTATTAATATTTTCTATTTTCATATCACCTTAGTATGTCAATTTATCCGTTTTCTACTCTCCTAACTAGCCAACTATCCCATGTAATAGTTTAAAAAAAGATGAAAAAGTTCAGCAAAACAATTTTACGCATTGATCCTGTCTGACAGTACAATCAGTTCTATAAAATGACATAAGCATTTCTAATAAATCACTGCGTCCTATGCAAAATTACACAGTAAAAATCACAAAGCTGATGGGAAAATTAAAAAAAACAACAACTTTGTTAGTGATTTATTAAAAGAAGATAGGAGCCTAACAAAAAGATCAGCACAGATTTAGACATATTAAATAATTAACAAATATATAAGTACTGCTTTTAATAGTAGCTGTGTCTATGGCTTTGGATTACTGCTTGGCCTTGTGTCCCAGTTCCCTGGATACAGTTGACAACTTTGAAAGATCTGCCTCAGCCACAACTCTGCGATGGAATGACCATTGTGGGTGCAGACCAGCCTTCTTTTGCTTATAGCTTTTTCAGCACCAGAAGATACACAATAAATATGAGATTTTAATTTGAGATAGTGGAAGTATTGTAGGAAGACTTGCAACTTGGGAGTTATTGTGAAGTGGTGCACTTTTCTGCATTCTCACTGATGAAATTGAGCATAAGCAAACTCATAATCCAAGTTATGCTTAATTTATTCCCCAATATATTATGTCGGAATAAATTTGCATTTTCAAAACAAAGGTTATAGCAGAACTGACTGTATGTGCAATAGTCTAAAAGTGAATTTTCTAGACATTTCTGAATTTTTTTTTTTCTTTAAGGCAATTGGGGTTAAACGACTTGCCCAGAGTCGCACAGCTAGTAAGTGTCAAGTATTTGGTCTGAGGCCGGATTTGAACTCAAGTCCTCCTGACCTCAGGGCCGGTGCTCTATCCACTGCACCTAGCTGCCCCTGGGCCTTATTTTTAAAACTATAGTTTCCCCCACTCATCTAAAGTACAGTGAAATCTCCCAGATACATTTTTTTCCTCAAAAAAAGTTGTTTTTTGTAAAATGTATTATATTTTCCAGGAAGTGTAGGCTTATTGAATCAGAGCTTTGGGATCTGATCAGGATCTCTAACTGTTGGATATCGAAAGAAGGAATTTAAAAACCTGTATAACTGTGTTCACATTTAGCCCTGTCTTCTAATTGCTTGAACTTGATATTTCAACGAGTAGTTTTATTTCTAATTCTGTAAACCAAAAGCAAGCTTAAATTTTTAAATTAAACTTTCACATTCTCCTTTCTCCCATCTGAGAGTGTGGATGAAATCTCTTGCTTATGTGAGGAGTAAACAAGAAAAAAACCCACATAAAATTATGCAGTTATTGGTTGTGTATCATGATTTTTTTTTTCTTGCACAGAATAATCCTTTTCAAAGATAGGAGATTAGATCAGTTATCTTAGTTCTTTCATTATGTATATTGAAATGGGTAATAAATGCCACTGGTTTGTACAAACTAAAAAGAAACCATAACAAGGAAGGAGATACACTATAGAAATTATTTATCTTCCCCTCTAACTTGCTTTCCTTTGCTAAATGTTTAGTGGCCTCTCTGTGATTTCAGTGTCACAGCACTGATTTACAAATCAGATCTGTACTAACATGTATGCTAACAGTATGTAATCTTCGACATTTTGGAGAATACATACTTAATACAGGTTTTAAGAACTTGATTGAATGTGTGTGTGTGTGTGTGTGTGTGTGTGTGTGTATTTTACATATATATATAATATATATATATACACACACAAACATTTTCTTTTTAAGAATTAGTTATCTTTTTCAGCCAGAGCATTTGCAGAAGCAGCTATTGAAAAACAGAAGTCTGCATTTATTCGTTGGGGTGTAATGGCGGACTGGGATAATTGCTACTATACATTTGATGGAAAGTATGAGGCCCAACAAATAAAAATGTTCTATCAAATGTATGCTAAGGTATATTTATTTGAACAATTTTTAAACATTTTAAAGTGTGTGTCACAAAAATACTGTTTTAATGTAATTTTATCTTCTACAGGATTTGATATATAGAGCTTATAAACCTGTATTTTGGTCTCCTTCAGCAAGGTATGTTTAATCAGTGAGCAGTAAACGGGGACAGTTTTTGAGTGAGTTCAAAGCATTGATTTGTTAACTTAATGTTTTAAAAAATTTTAGGACTGCATTAGCTGAAGCTGAACTTGAATATAATCCTGAGCATGTCAGTCACTCTGTATATGTCAAGTTCCCACTCTTGAAACCTCCTTCCATGCTAGCGTCTGTCTTAGGTAAGATCTATTGTAGTCCTTTTGTTATAAATATGGCATTGGGATATTTACTGTTCCCTTACCGTAGCCTGTGATTTTTCTTGCCTTTGTACTTTTTTTAATTCATGTTCTTCTATATGCTTAGAAAATCCCCCCCCCCCCCCACGACTCTTTCAGTTGAAATCTTACGTATTTTTAAGACCTTGTTAAAATATTATCTTTTCTCTTTCTGTCATCTGGAACTGAAGTCTTAAACATTTTATACTTGATTCATATGTTTGTACTTTCTAGATTTATTTATATAAATGTATATATCTTTTATACCTTTAGATTGGGGCAAAGACTATTCTGTTTCCCAGTTCTCTTTGTCCTCTTCTCCTTCCTCCAATCCTCCCAAGTGCACAGCAGGATACTCTACATTACAGTAGGCATGTAGTATACTGTTTATTGAGCCACTCATAACACATTTCTATCTCTCCTACAGATAGCTCATTGCCTGTTAGTGCAATAATCTGGACCACACAGCCTTGGACTATTCCTGCCAATCAGGCTGTCTGCTACATGCCAGAATCTAAGTATGTGTTGGGATTTTTTGTTTTATCCATATTTGGTAGTAACACATTTAATGTCTAAAATCTTGAAAGCTAGTAGATACTATCCTGGTGACAACACAAACTTGATTAGATTTATTTAATTTCTTATAATTTTGTAAGTTTTCTGCTTAGCTATTTCCTTTGAAATTGTTATTACGAAGGGATAGGGAAAAGACCTGGACCTGTGATTTCATTAGTTATAGGAAACTCTCCTGTGAAGCAGCCTGCCTTTTCCTAGTACAGGTCAGCGCTTCCTCTGCAACTCTGAATCTGGAAGGATTTGCTTAGAGCACAGATGTCAAACGTACAGCCCCAGGCCTTCTAATGCTCCACAACCCTTCCCAGGGTGCTCCATCTAGATTACAATGGAATTGGCAAATATTTAACAAAATAAAAACATAAGAAAACATGGGTAACCTTACATTTTAATTTACATTTTACATTACATTTAAAAACTAAGTCAATAAGTGGCCCACAGGGATTCATATGTACTGAATGGTGACTCCTGCTTCTCTTGGAGTTTGACACTGCTGACCTGGAGCACTGAGAGGTTAAGTGACTTCCTGAGTTATATACGCAGTATGTCAGAGCCAGGCTTGAGCCCTAATTATCCTGGCCCTGAGGTTGGAGCTCTCTCCTCTGAGAAGCTAGGCAGCAATGCAAATGTTATGTATATTAGGGAAAGATTGGGAGTTAGTTTCTTGTCTAGAGTCCTTTTAAGAATTCCTTTTTAAGGCTGTATCCCAAAGATATCATAAAAATGGGAAAAGGACCCACATGTACAAAATATTTATAGCAATTCTTTTTGTGGTGGCAAAGAATTGGAAATTGAGGGGATGTCTGAGAGTTGGGGAGTGGCTGAACAAGTTATGGTATAGGAATGTAATGGAATATTGTGCTATAAAAAATGATGAGCAAGCAGACTGCAGAAAAACCTGGAAAGACTTGTATGGACTGATGCTGAGTGAAGTGAGCAGAATCAGGAGAACGTTGTACACAGTAACAGCCACGTTGTGCAATGACTAACTTTGACAGACTTAGCTCTTCTCAGCAATGCAAGGATCTAAGACATCTCCAAAGGTTTCATGATGGAAAATGCTATCCACATCCAAGAAAGAACTATGAAGTTTGAATGCAGATCGAAGCATACTATTTGCTCTTTTTTGTCTTCTGTTTTGTTTTCTTTCTTCTTTCTTTTGGTTCCATGGTTATAATTCTTTTTTACAACATGACTAATGTGAAAATATATTTAACAGGAATATGTATGTAGAGCCTATATCAGATTGCACATAGTCTTAGGGAGGAAGGTGGGGAGGGGGAGGGGAAGACAATTTAAAATTCAAAAGCTTATGGAAGTGATTGTTAAAAACTAACAATAAATAAATAAATAAATAAATGCAGAATTCCTCTTTAAGTTGGTTCCAGTATGCTAAGCATAGACATATCAGTGACTTCTTGTTTTATTACTACTAATAGATTTTTAATATTTCACTCTAGGTATTCCATCGTCAAATGTGCCAACTCTGGAGAATTTTATATACTGGCTGCTGAAAAAGTATCATCTATAGCTGCTCTTTTGGGAACAGAATTTGAGGTTATTTCAACATTTTTAGGTAAAGATTAATAAATAATTGGAACATGTTTTATCAGTTACATAAAATATTGATTTAAATATAGTGCTTTGCTTCCTACTTTTAAAAAATGATAGACATTACCTTTCTGTTCTAGCAGCTTGGCTTTTAACAGGAGGGAGTGATATTTAAAAAGAACATACATTAGGTGTATGTAAAATACAGAAATATTGATAAAAATTATATGCCTATTTACATAATTGATGAAGTTTCTTAAAATATCCATATAATGTACATACATACACATGTGTGTGTTTGTACACACACTGCTGAAAACTTGTTCAATACTTTTGAGGAGAAATTACAATTTTGAGAGTCAGAATTTTGATTGTGGGGAAAATGGATGAGTTCTCGAAAGCATACCACAAGCATCTTCTATCAAATGATACAACCAAATCATAAGTAACTTTAATTTGGAAGTTTCAGCTCAGAAGACCAAAAGAGTTGGTGACCTTATAGAGTAGATAAAATACAAATAGTACTGGATAACATCTAAAGACTGGTGAATAATAATTCTTAGAAGACTAGAAAAAAATCTGTGTCACGGTTTTAAAAAAACTAGTCTCAAAAACCTTACATGAATAACTGGGAAAATGAAAGGGACTAGACTAGAAGATGTGACATCTTCAGAAAAAAGAAAGATGAAAACTTTATTCAATTAAAGTAACTATGTGAGTCACTAAATATGATGTCAGATGCCTTGAAATTAATTATTCATTAAAGAATTTGAGGATAACAAATAATCAGGTATTTTTTAAATATATGAAAGGCAGTACAAATAATGAGCAGAAAATCAATTAGAAATTCATTGAGGTCTCATGATTATCATTTTAAAAAAAGTAATTTCAGTAAAGTGAGAGACCTCCATGAATTCTTTGCTTCCCTCTTTTCTGAAGAAGATATTCACGGGACTTCTTTTTTTAGAAGTTGTGCTGCCTGGAATATTGCTGTGGTGTGGGAAATGATGAGTAAGTTGATTTAGAAAAACATGGAAAGACTTGGACTTAAGAAGGAAAATACTATCCACCTTCAGATAACAAGTAGAAGTAAGCATAGTATAGTCTTACATATATGTGTAGATAGATGTATGTTTATAGATATCTATGTATATGTACATATCTCCATGCTTAATTGTAACCTTCTCTGGGGTAGAAGGGAAGGGAAAAAATAAAAATGCACAGTAGTGAAGTAAAGAAAACCAACAAGGAAGCAGAGAAAAGCTGGGCAGCTTTGAAAACAATGTGTAGTATTTATTATATAGGTTTTCTTGAAATGAAAATTTATTGTTTTATAATGAATCCTTTCTTCTGCTATGTACATGACAATGTTTTTTCTTTTCTCGTTTTGTGTTTAAGGTTAACAAAAAAATTACGGAAAAAATAATTGTGCTGCCATCACATTAATCCATCACATTAATTCAGGGAAATCTTTGAAAGAACGAAGGAGTGGATTCCACTTCCTTAGTTTAAAAACTAGTCTTCAACAAAGATAACTTCTGTGAGGAAAGTCAGTGTGGTTCCTGTAAAAGAAATCTTGCTTGACTAGATTATTTGAGGGAGTAAATAAGTATCCGAACAAGGGGTACTGACAAACTTAAATTTGTTGATGTTCAGAAGGTTTTGTTTTGGATTAACAGTGATTTTTAAAAGTGGTTTGTCACAGGATTGTGAGGTGTATTTTGATATACATCAGGAATTAGTTTAGGGAAAGTAAAGTAAAAAGGTAAATATAAATAAGCACTTAATTGGATGAACAAATGTGAAATGCAGTTCATGTATCTATTACATGTTATCTGGAAAAGGGCATCTATAGGTAGTGAAATGCCAAGCTGACTGAGCTAACTTGAAGGGGTGTGTGTGTGTGTGTGTGTGTGTACATACACTTTTTTTTTGGTTAGGCAGTGGAGTTAAGTGACTTGCCCAGGGTCACACAGCAAGTAAGCGTTATATGTCTGAGACCGGATTTGAACGCAGGTCCTCCTGAATCTAGGGCTGGTGCTCTATCCACTGCGCTGCTTAGCTGCCCCAAGGGGAAGATATTGAAACTCATAATGAGTGTCTTGAGAGTTTGTATGTATGGAGTGTAGAGAGAGTGTCAAATGAAATTCAGTGTATTCAGCTGTAAGATAATTCTTTTAGGGAAAAATAGTTCAAACTATTCTTGTGAGATGAGAGGTTCTGGGCCATTCCTTACAAAAATGAGCTATCAATTATTACAGCCTGTCGACTAACGCTACCAACCCAATTTGAATAATGAATAAATGAACAGTTAAGTGCTTGCTGTGTGCCAAGCACTGTGCTAAGGATCTGGGGATACAAATATAAAAAGCTCGACAGACCCTTCTCTCAAGGTGCTCACACTTGGAAGAGATAAAACATCAAAGACAGTTTATCTGCCCGGCAGATTGAATGACCTGAAAGTCCTAAGAGGTTAAGTAAAGGAGCAAATAGCAAGGCCCAGAGGTCTTTAGGTTATATTGGTAGTTAAGTTGGCAGTGTTCAGAGTAGTCTGGACAAATGGTAAGGTGTGGAGGACCTTAGGAAACAGTGGCAGAACAGATAATAAGGCCTTGTAGGCCTTCATCTCATCAGAAGATATGGAGCTGTTACCTACCATCTCATTCAAACCCTGTCAGGCATCACTGGCAAAGGAGAAGGAAAGGGAATAGGCTGCTTCCAGTGGGGAGAGTTGATGGCTCTGCTGGGGTGAGGAGAGAAGGGTTGGATGCCCTCATGTCCTTGGCACTCCCAACCAGGATGGTCTTCCATGGAATGGGGAAAGGGAAGGCAAAGGAATTAGGGCACCCCTGGTGGTGGCTACTCTTCCCCAAACCCTGCAATTCTAAAAAGCAACAAAGTGCTAAGCAGCATCAGGAGGGCTACCCTTTGACAAGAAAAAAATGTGGTTCATTCATTCAGCAGGTATTTATTAAAATTAAATGCTATGTTCATGGCACTGCTGTTATTCACTAGGCATAGAGGTAAAAATAGCACAATGCCTGAAACATACTAAACACTTAATAAGTATCTGTTGACTGACTGACTGACTGAAACAAATGAAGGGAGTCCCTTTCTCCAAAGTGCTTAAAATCATGTACAATTACAGTCTGTTTTATTTCTGCAATTTCGTCTGCTGCAGTGGTGTCAAATACCGATAGAAATAGAGTCCACTAAACTGTATATAAGGATCCTTGTAGGCTGTGTGTATACACACATGCATACACACTTGCACATGCACATACACATGTAATTTACATACAATTATATATAATATTATATACTGTTATATATATAATATTTTTTTTAATACAACAACTCATTAAAATCTGATAGGAACTATATTTCAATCTGATTTGGAGCACACTTGGAATGTTGAGGGCTTTATTTAGCTGGAAGGCAAAGTGGTCAACTGTGCCTCAGTAAAAGCACAGTGAAGCTAAAGAGAGTAAAAAGTCAGCTGAAATCGTCAAGGGATGTGAAGATGGGTGAAAAGAAATTTTTAAAATATCAGTTTTGGGAAGTGGTTGAAATTTATGGGATAGACTTGGCCAAATTTTGTTGAGCTAGGTAATTTAAAGTATCCTTCATTCTTTCTTCTTCCTCACCCCTACCATTCTCCCTGATTTTTAAAGATTGAGTTTTAAGATCAATTTCATAAAGTAACGTTTTAAACATCAGGGAAATAGGCTTACAGAAATTGTTAACCCAGGAAGTGGTACAAGTAGCAGATACAAGTAACTTTTAAAAATATTTAGATAAATTCAGGCATCAGAGAGAATAAGGAAAATTCACAAGCTCATGTTGGATTGTGGACTAATCTTTTGAATTAGTTTCCTGGAGGACAGGAACCATATCCTCTCACAGGTCCTTGAGTATTGACCAGGATTCATATTGAACCAACTTGGTGTATCTTTCTTAAGTGTTTATATAATTCATGTAACAGGAAAGTTGTTAGCAATATGCTGTTCCCCTGATCTTTGCATCAAATTCAAAGCAACAAACATGTATTACATGTCTTCTATACACTGTGCCAGGCAATGAGGTTATAAGTATGATACAAACCTGCTCTCAACTTAGGATCAGATCTACTAGAAAGAAAGAATTAAAAGAAGATCTGAATATAAAATTTTTTAATGGTTGTTTTCTTTCCTTTTAGGAGCTGATATGGACAGTGGTTCTTGTGCTCATCCTACAATTGCAGACAGAGTCTCTCCGCTCTTACCTGCCCATCATGTGACTTTGACCAAAGGCACAGGCTTGGTTCACGTAGCTCCGGCTCACGGGATGGAAGATTACAGCGTAGCTTCTATGCACAAGCTGCCCATGGTAGCATTTCTTGCTCTCTTTTTTTGAAGAGGGAGGGGTGAGGAAGAATAGCTATTTATGGCTTTTATTGAATTAACGTAATTCATTCTGACACCTTAAATTGTAGTTTATTCTGTTCTTTTTCATCTCCTCCCAGCCCTTTTGTTTATCACTTGTACTTCCCTTCTCTGGTTCTCATTTTCTGACTCTGTAAGATATGGGGGTGGAACTAGATGACCTACAATTCTTTCTAGCTCCAAGTCTATGATTTTGTGAACTATAAAAATCAGGATTTGTTCAATTTGAAATTGTTTAGTAAAACCTTTCTTTTTTTGGAACTAATTGATAAAGGATAAAGTCATAGATGTACAGCTAGAAGCAACCTCACAAACCATCTAATGTAACCCCCTTCTTTGACAGATAAGGAAACAGGCCTGGAGGGGTTAAGTGAATTGTTCCAAGGTGTATAGTGAGTGTCAGAGGCAGAGTTTGAACCTAGGTTCTCTAGTCCTTGAGTAGGTGCTCTTTCAAGGATACCGGTTGCCTTTAACTCAGTTTCAGTAAATAAGAAGGTGATATAAGAAATGAATATTTGAATATAGTTTCATTACTTCGCAGGTACTATAAAAACCAGTGGTTAACAAAATCATCTTAAGAAGAGACCCTGTCTCAGCTGTTTTAATACTTAAAGGGCATTTCCAGTTAGTGCCTTTTACAATGGAGATGGTTTAAGTGTTTTATATGTTTATTGCTTAAGTAGAAAAAGTATTCCTTTTGTAATTTCATATTTAGAAAAAAAAAATTTTAAGTAAACCTTAGTCTAGTACCTGTCTAAATTACTATGGATTTTGTCATAGTTCAGTCTGAATTATATCAGAATTTCATACTGTCACCTAGAAGGACTTTAAAAATGATCTCTTACCCCTCATTTCATAGATGAAACTTGGATCTGACATTTTTTTATTGTTTGAACTAAAACACTTTGATAGCTTTTGTTATTAAACTTCAGGTGGATACTGTAGTGCTTCAGATATTTTGTAAACATGGGAGTTTGAAGTTGTGTAATTAGAGCTAAAATTTATTCAAGTTTTCATTATAGAGCAAGAATTTATTATTATCAGATCTCATTGTTGATTCTTTGTTTACATAGTCAGATGTCTCAACAAGATGATGTCTCTTTTTTTCTTTTTTTCTTAATTTATTTTGATTTATCAACAATTACTTCCATATCCTTTTGAGTTTAAAATTTCTTCCCCTTCGTCCCCACCACCCTCCCCAAGATGGCGCCTGATCTGATATAGGCTGTACATATACATTCCTATTAAACATTTTCACATTAGTGATGTTGTAAGAATTAGAACGAATAGGAGGAACCACCAGAAAGAGAAAACAAAACTCAACAGAAGAAAAAAAAATAGCAAATAGTATGCTTCAATCTGCATTCAAACTCCATAGCTCTTTCTTTGGATGTGGATAGCATTTTCCATCATGAGACCTTTGGAGATGTCTTAGATCCTTGTATTGCTGGGAAGGGTTAAGTTTGTCAGTATTAGTCAATGTCTCTTTAACATTTTGTTTTAATTGACTAAAATGAACCTCCTAGGATTGTTTGGTGGATGAACTTGGGAATTTCACAGAAGCTGCGGGAAATGAACTTGAGAACAAGAATGTCTTTGAGGAAGGGTCTGATACTGGTCAGTATTTACTCTGCTTGTCATCCAAGCACATTCTGTGGGTAGCAGGAGCAAGTCGCATCTGTGTCTCTTTTCCTCTAATCTTTAAAGTTTTGTAACTCAAGGTGACTTTTCACTGAAGAAAGCCACACCTTTAAGTGGCTTATTTTAATTTATTTTGCCAAATGGTATACTTCTTTGTATTTTTAATTAAATCACTTAGTAGCAATGTTTTATTCACCAGTCTGTGTGACTTGACAGATTCATGGAAGAATGGATTTAATTATGAAACCCTTCTCCTTAAGCCAAGACAAGAATAAATTTGGGTGTTTGTAAAATTCCAAAAGACTTTCTAGATTGATATTGTGGAGTGACTGGTTCTTATGGTTCTATATAGCCGCTTGATCTTACCTTTGCTTTCATTTGAAGAGGCAGTTGCCTCTATTATGTGTAATGATAGTTGTTAAACCTATTATCTGCCCAGACTCTTCACTGTTTTTTCTGAAAGAGTGATCCCTTTTCTATCAGGGGTTCTACAGACCCTGACTTTTGTACCAGGGCAGTGGGTATTTTCAGTGATAGCAACTGCTAGCCCATGCTCTACACTGCTGAATAGTTGTTGGGTTTGTGTTTAGGAGGTTTTAGAGTGCTATGTGCCTTCTTATAGCTAACTTACGATTTCCTCTTTTTTTTTTTTATTAGTGATAAAGATGCTTCAATCTACAAAGAATTTGCTAAAGGAGGAGAAATTTACACATAGTTATCCCTATGACTGGAGGACAAAGAAACCAGTGATTATTCGCCCTAGCAAGCAATGGTTTGTAAAGATAGAAAATATGACAGCTACAGCCAAGGTACCAGACTTGAATCACTTTTCCTATAAAATAGGTTTGACTCCTCCTCCAGGATTATATACACATACAGTCTTTGAAGGGACATATTTCATTTGGACTGGCTTGTATGCATAGAATTGTGAAAATCTTTGAAGCTTAAAACTTGATAAGACCTTCAAGATCATTTAGTCTATAATCTTTATTTTTAAATGGTAAAACGTGGTCAAGGAGGTTATGTGATATGGGCAGTGTTGCGCAGCTAGCTTATTAGTTGCAAGATGTATAATCTTGGTCTTTTGACTCTCATTGTGCTACTACATACATAGATGCTACTACATTAAATGATAATAAGAATCTCATCAAAAGTAGCTGTTCTTTGTTAAAAAATATATAGATTAAAACTGTAGTACTTACTACATTTAACAATTATTATCTTACTCATTCAACTTGAAATTCTATGTTTCAGAAAAATTAATTTTCATTATGATTAGATAATATTTTTGAACTCTTAAGGTAAAGTTTTTGAACCATGTAGGAATATTTTTATGAAGCATTTCATTTCTAAAAACTTTTTATTATTTATTTATTTTTAGCATTCATTTTTTAATATATTGAGTCCCAAATGCTCTTCCTCCTTCCAGCCCCTCCCCTACTCATTGGGAAGGCAAGCAATATATTAGTTATACATGTGTAGTCATGACAAAACATGTTTCCATATAAACCATGTTGGAAAAAAAAAAAAAGAAAAAGACTGAAAAAAATATGCTTCAGTCTGCACTCAGAGTTCACCAGTTGTCTCTCTGGAGGTGGATAGCATTTTTCATCATGGGTCCTTTCGAATTGTCTTGGATCGTTGTATTGATTAGGGTAGCTAAGTCTTTCACAGTTGATCATCAGTACAATATCGCTGTTACTGTGTACAATGTTCTGGTTCTGCTCACTTCACTTTGCATCATTTCATATAAGTCTTCCCCGATTTTCATAGAGCATTTTAGTAGTTATAATATGAAAAGTTTTGAATTGGGGTGCTATATTGAAATTAAGACTTGGGTTTTCTAACCAAGTATGTATTTTTCAACTTTGAACATGTGGATTAGTTTGTAGGTTAGTTTAAAACAGTCTGTGTTTTGGGTACTGTTTTAAAATAGAAAAAGACCCTATTACTATTGGCCAATTCCCTGTTATTATTTTGTTCTCCTTTTGGTTTTAGGGACTTAAGCGTCTTTGACTTAGCATGATCCCACCTGAATTTGGTTAAAAGGTTAGTCTCAAATTAGGAATATAGTGTAAATGGAATCTATGTTAAATTAAACAATCATAATATGGGTCCTTACTCATTCATCCTTTCACAGATGTGTAAAGTTAAAGTAGTGTCAGAGAATATTTTTTATTCTAACTGGGGCAATCAACCTATGTTTTTAAAAGTAGGTTGAAAGCCACATAGGTTAAAAAAAAAAAGGACATTAAAAGTTTTCTTGAGACAAGTATGAAAGGTTCCCCACATTCTTCAGATTAATAGGGGGAAACCTAAAACTGTTAAATACGACAAATAATAAAAAAATATAATAGTTGAATATTATAACTAAAGGAGAAAGAAACAAAATAAGTTCAAGGATACAGAGCCACATTGGGTAGCGTTGCCATCTTGGGGCTTTTGGGGATATTGCAATTGGACACAGGCATTTTTTACAGCTAAATTCAACATTTGTCCTATTAGTCCTAAGTCGAAGGGTAATGTTTTCTTGTCTTATACCAAGAGAGAAGCTCTTAGGAAAAGATATTTGTGTCTACCTTTTTTTCTTTTTCTTTTCTTTTCTTTCTTTCTTTCTTTCTTTCTTTCTTTCTTATTTTTTTTTTTTTTTTTTTTTTTTTTTTTTTTTGTGAGAGGTAATTGGGGTTAAGTGACTTGCCCAGGGTCACACAGCTAGTAAATGTCATGTGTCTTGAGGCCAGGTTTGAACTCAGGTCCTCCTGACTCCAAGGCTGGAGCTTTAGCCACTGGGCCACCTAGCTGCCCCCTGCCTATTTTTTAAAACAAGAGTTCTTAGAAGCCTGGGGTCCACAGTTCCCTTGGAGATCCATTGATAAATTTCATGAGGTCTTTGAACTTGGAGAGGAAATTACAACTTTATTTTTACTAATCTCTAATTGAAACTTAGCATCTCCTCCAGTTATGTTTTTTTTCTTTTTTTTTTTTTTAGGCAATTGGGGTTAAGTGACTTGCCCAGGGTCACACAGCTAATAAGTGTCAAATGTTTGGTCTGAGGCCGGATTTGAACTCAGGTCCTCCTGACTTCAGGGCCGGTGCTGTATCCACTGCGTAACCTAACTGCCCCTAATTTTAAAAAAAAAAAATCGTTTTCAGAAGTGATCCATAAGTTCCACTAGACTGTTAAAAGGATCCGTGATATAAGGATAAAGAATCCTTGCTTTAAAATAACAAATCAACTGGCAACTTTAGGTTCTGAAATACTGCTTCAAGATTATACTAATTTGTTTTCTATCTTATTTGCTTTTCATAAATTTTTATAGATGTATTTTGTTTTTGTATAGTGTACGTTTCTTACTATGTCCCTCCCCCTCCCGGACAACCATACTGTATTTAAAAAAAAAAATGAAAGAAAAGGGAAAAGCAGTTGAGTAAAACTAATCAACATATTAAATAAAAGAAATTCCATACAATGTTCCATACCCATATTGTCCTGCCTCTTCAAAGAAGGGAAGATGGAGAGGTGCCTTCTCATAACTCTTCTTTGGGGCTAAGTTTTGTCATAATTTTATCAGTACTCAATGGTTTTATTGAAGTTTTTTCTCTTTACTTTGTTGTCATTTTGTATATTGTTTTCCTAGTTCTGCTTATTTCACTTTTGTATCAGTTCTTAAAAATCTTTCCATGCTTCTGTGTCCATCATATTCATCATTTTACTGCATAGTTATATTCCATTATATTCATGTGTCACAATTTGTTTAGCCATTCCGCAGTTGAGGGGCTTCTAATTTATTTCCAGATGTTTGCTGCTACAAAAAAAAAAGTGTTGCTGTAAATTTTTCAATGTTTATAGAACTTTTCTTTTTGTCTTTGACTTCCCTCGGGTATATGCCTAGCAGCGAAACCTCTGTGTAAGAAGCTACAAACATTTTAGTCACTCTTTACAAATTCCAGATTACTTTCCAAAGTGGTTGTACCAATTCTCTGCTCCACCAGCAGTTCTAAGTGTGTATCTCTCCATAACCCTATTCAATGTTGACTATTTCTCTTCTTTTGTCATCTTTGTGAATTTTCTGAGATGAAACTTCAGAGTTGCTTTGATTTACATTTCTCTTAGTAATAGTGATTTGGATTGTTCTTTCATATAATTTTTAATAGTTTACAATTCTTTTGAAAACTGTTCATATCCTTTAACCACATAGTACTAATTTGTTTTTTATGATTGAAATAGAGATTCAATTAATTTTATTTGCTGTTAATGAAGGGTGGTAGTTCTCAACCTGTTCTGTTGGTTTTGATTTAGTATTTTTATAAGTTAATGCTATAATTTGTGATAAATGCTTTATATTTCCCCTGGATTATCACTTAATGAGTTCCCCTAGTAAACATCTGAAAAAATTTTACTTAGTTTTCTTTCCTACTTTTATACAAATTTATTATTTAGCATGACCTCAGTAACCCAATTAAAATGCATTTGTAAATTTATTGCAGGACTCATTAAGAAAGGTGAAATTTATTCCTGTCTCAGCAATGAATAGTATGGTGGACACAATAGAGAAACGACCATATTGGTGTATCTCAAGGCAAAGGGTATGGGGTGTTCCAATTCCTGTGTTCCATCACAAGACAAAAGATGAAATCTTGATCAACAGGTAGAAATTTTTTCTGTTTTATAAAATTTTAGTGAGTTAAGTATTTTTCAAAAATGGAAAAAGATTTAAGCTTCATTGATCTTTATTATGTTTTTTAGAATAAATTATAGGATGTATACTTTGTTTTCTCTAGGTAAAATGTGGTAATTTTATCAAAATATTTCCTCCTTCATGGTTCCATTTTGTATAAAATTATTTTTTCCCAAAGCTAGATACTTCTGTTGCTGGAATGAAACCTATGTGTAGCAACTACCTGTTTCTTTTTAGATGACCGCACCACACTACATAACTCTAATCTTTTGCCTTTTCCATTACTCTTTTCCTTTCCCCTTAGCTTATCTATCCATAATCCTAAATTTCTGGAGCCCCTACTTGCATTGCATTGATGAGGAATTTTGATATTAAAGGTTGGAATTTTTAAAGTTTATAGTTATATGAGGTAATTTTTTCCATTGAGATTATAGCTTGAAATCAGTAACTTGTTATTTTCAAATGAGAATTGAGGACCTGGTTTTAGATTATAGATAACTGAAGGAATTTTAGAGACTAGAGCTGAGACCCCCAACCATTTTGTGAGGAAGAGGAACTCTTGATTTACCCGAGTCCTTGAGATTTCTAGTGACATTGGCAACAAATTAACTCAGTAGGATTGGGAAGAATATTAATAAAATTTCCCACCGGTGCTAGTAAAGTGAGTCCCTACATTCCCCTTCTTGGCAAATCAGGGGTTTGGTGGAAGTAGATGGCTTGGTGATCTACCAACATTTAACAGTCCTGGCTGGTGGACTCGATTCTAAGATGTTCCACACATGATTGCTGTCATTTTACCATTAATAGACTGCTTTTGTTCAATGATTGCTTTCTTCTTCCATCCTCTCACGTAGTGAATTCATTGCAAGTCATGATGGTTCTTCCTGGGGACATGAGTTCTGTCCATAACTAAGTCTCTTCTTGAACAAGGTGAAATGCTTTAAACTTTCTTCCTCTTCTCCCACACTCTTCTCTCAGAATGTGGGCCTCCGTTACAGCTTATGTTGCTCTGGCAGTATATTTTAGGGTATATTCTGGGTCTGAGCATGTGAAAAAATCTAAAACCCCTGATTTAAGAATATATTCATGGTTTTGCATGAAAGTAAATTTTAAAGAATATTAAATCTTACTAGGATTGCTATGTAGAGATTAATCCAGTATGAAACAAAAGCTTCCAAAGAGTCTTAGTCGCTTCAGGTACCAAAAGAACCTCATTGGAAATTATTATTAATAAATTATTAATAAAATAGTCTTTCAGTTCAGATACTGAAGACAAACTTGAGACTGTGCTCCAATTTATGCTCTAGGAAGATATATTTATAGTAATTTTTCCCCCTGAAACAATGTATTAAATGTGTTATTTAAACAGTGTATGAAGTCTCTTGTTGCCTTGAAAAAAAGTTATTATAAAGTTACAGTATTCACTTACTTGTGAAGTAGGTGTTTCATTTTGTATCTGGAGAAATAATAGCTATCACTTGGCCTTTTGAGTCTAACATTAAGTGGAAAAATAATAGGACTCAAACTCAGGTTTGTTATTTGCACTTAAACACATTTGCTTCTAATCCTGTCACTGAGATATTCTATTTAAAAAATAGACTATTTTCCACCTTAGAATTTATGAACTTCTTTGTCTGCTTTATAGGAGTTATGTTAGACAGTGGAAGTCAATTTGACTTCAATAACCAAAAAAAAATATGTAAATTCAAGAAATTTGAATTATAAATTTCCTTACTACTTTGGGGAAGTTCTTTTCCCTTCTTGTGTACTCAGTTTTAATAATAACAATAGTAGCTGTTATGAAAATAGTATTAGCTGGTCACATTTTTATCGTCAGCTATCTCTGCTTCCTGCTTCAGATGTTTAAGAGTAATTTAGAGCAAACCTCTGTGTAACAAAGTACTTAATAGAGTTCACAAAATTTCAGCTAAAATGTATGAATGAACTTTGAGTGCATGGTCCAAACCTTTTAGCTTCTGAACACAAAATAGCTATCTATAATTTGAATGTTCTTCTCTCCTCACTCTCCCTACGTAGATCCAGCCAAAGCTATGGGGAAATAGACATGCAACACAGGATAACCCGAGTGTCCTTCTTTCCTAGGAATTGAATCTTCTACATATGTTTTTAGCCTTTTTGACATCCTTTCGTTCCTGTCTTGTAATGCTTGAAGGCGACACTTCTTCTTTATCCCCCCTCCAAATGTCACTCAGTCATTCCTTTTGCATGTCCTATCTTAGGTGTTTATTACAGGTTACATGGTGTGGCACTTGCACATTTTGTAACTAGGTGCCAAGATGATGGCTGAAGTACACCTGCACTTTGTTGGCTGGATTCATTCTCAGTTCTAGGCATAGAACTTTGGTATATACCTGGTACTCATATAGGTGATTTTTTTTTTTTTTTTTTAGCAAACATTTCCTTTGAGTGTTTTGTGTTCCTTATTTCTGAGGTGTCTAAAATAGCTGGTATTCGTCTAGATATCGAATGACTTAATTTTTCTATTGGAAAGATGTACCGTCTTCTAGGACTACTAGGACATTGTTATCTCTAGGACTCTGCATATTATTAGCCAGCTTAATACATACTTCACTGAAAGCCTTGTCTTAGACACTTTAACTTGATGTTTTAAGGCAGGCCTGCACAACCTGCAGCCCACGGGCCACTTGCAGTTCACGGGCATGCCAAAGGATTTCAAGCTACCCACAAAAAAATGTAGAAGATGTTTCCCTCTATGTTGTTTGTGGACAGCCCACATATTTTGGTGGGCCGCACCTTGTGCAGGCCTGCTTTAAGGTTTACAAAGTGCTTTCCTTACCAGTTTCTCAGTTGATCCATATAGGCCTTTGAAGCGTAGGTGTAAGAGGTATAATTATCCTTGTTTTACAAAGGAAATAGCTGAGACTCAGAGAAAATTGCTTTTATTTGTCAAAGGATGGCACTTAGAATTTTATAAACTGGAATTCAATACCTTTTATAAATTATTCTGCCTTTTTTCTTTTTAAATAAGTTAACTTATTTTACATAACCAATTTACAGTTTATAATATGTGCCACCCACTGCCCAGGCCCCCAATGAACAACAATGAAAAATAATGAAAAATGAAAATGAAAAATAAAACCATCACTATAAATATACGTAGTCAAGTGAAACAAATTCCCACATTGGCCAAATCTGAAAAATGTATGTGTCCCTTTGTATTTTAAGTTCATAATCTCTCTGGCAGGAGGTGAATGGCATGCTTCATCTTTAGTCTTCTGGATGCATGTTTTATCATTACTTTGATTTAGAGTTCTAAAGTCTTTCAAAGTGGTTTTTCTCTATAATGCCATTATATAAATTGCTCTCCCTAGTTCTGCTCTCTTCACTCAGTTCATTAAAGTCTTCCTACTTTCCTCTGAAACTGTCCATTTTGTTGTTTTCTATGGCACAATAATGTTATGTTACATTAATATACCGTAATTTCTTTATGGTATTCCACCATATAATCACCACCTTCATTTCCAGTTTTTGTTACTTCCAAAAGAACTGAGCTCTTGCTCTGTTCTCTCTCTCCCTCCATATACATTTACATGTATATATGTATATGTATGTACATATGTGTATATGTTGGAGAGCACATATCTGTCCTTTTAATTTCTTTGGGGAATAGATCTTAGTCTTATAAATTTGAATCTGTTCCTTATATATCTTAAAAATGAGGTCTTTATCAAAAAAATTGATGCAAAGGTTTCTTCCCCATTTACCAGTTTCCCTTCTAATTTAAAATTCCATTAGATTTGTTTTTGCAAGAAACTTTTATAGTTAAAGTTGTCCATTTTATCTTCTGTAATCTTCTCTGTCACTTGTTCAATCATAAACTCTTCCTGTAACTAAAGATCCAAAAGATAATTTCTTCCTTGTTCCACTAATTCATTTATGATATGACCTTTTGACATGTAGACCATGTATCCATTTAGAGCTTATCTTGGTGTATGAGATGATGAGAAACCCAATTTCTGCCTGAATGCTACACATTTTGGGGGGTTTTTTCAGCACTGCTACTCTATTTCCTTTTGTATGTCTTGTACTTTATCTGTTGCACTGATTGATTTGTTTTTTAACTAGTACCAAATTATTTCCATGATTATTGCTTTCTAGTAAAAGTTTGAAATCTGGGACTGATAGATCCCTTCTCCACCTGCCTTCCAATTTTTTTTTCGTCATTAGCTAGAGATTCTTAATTTTTTATTTCTTCAAATGGATTTGATGATGATTATTTTCCTTTTTGGTCTGTAAAATATTCTTTTGATAATTTGGTATAGCACTGAAAAAGCAGTTTAATTTAGAAAATGCCATTTTTATTATATTGGCTTAGTCTTCAGGAGCAGCAGTTAATACTTCCCTAGGTCTTTATTTCTATAAAAACTTTTAATAGTTGGATTAGTATAGTTCCTTGATCTATCTTGGTAGATGGAGTCCCACATATTTTATAGCTTCTTTAATTAGTTTGAATGAAATTTTTCTTTCTAGTTCTTCCTGCCTTTTTTTTTTTAAAGGGTGGAGGTATACAAGAATGCTGATGATACATGATTATTTTATATTTTGCAACTTTGATGAGTTTATTGTTTCAACTAACTTTTTGGTTGACTTCAGGATTTTCTCAGTAAATCATCATTTCAATAAAAAGCAATTGTGTTTTCTCCTTGCTTATGATTATTTCCTCAATTTCTTTTTCTTGTCTTATTGCTAAGAGGCTGAAAAAAAGTCAGTTTAAGTCAACGGATATTAAGTGCCTATATTGTACTTGGAGTTAGGGAATTTGCCTTTGGTCATATGTCTGATACTAAGTTTCTCCTAACTCCAAGACCAGCACTATTAACAGTATGCCATGTTGCCTCTCACTGCTAAGAATAAATTCAAATGATTATATAAAGTATTTTTTAGTTTACAGAATGATAGAAAAGCTGCATCATCAAAATATGGCATAA